TGTTGTCTGGCGCACCAACTTTAGTATTAGCTAGGAATGTTTTTGTACTAGCTGCTACAATGCTGCTACAATAGATACTAATTCCGTGCCGACTATTGGAAGTCGCAATTTCTTATTCTTGTTTGTTGTCCAATACAATGATAACAAAGAACGTGAAACCAGTATATCATCGAAATCTCGCGTCCGTCAGCCAGGCGGCCATACATCCAACTTACCGACAATATCTCTAGCAAAATCTCAAGTTTCGACATAAATAATCACATTGCGTTCACATAAATTTTGGATCTCTCTCCATATTTTGTTACCTGCGCCGTTTGTTACGATTTTATTATGAAAATGAATGGCAGCCGAGAGCGGGCGACGGGCGTCCGTGGTGGAGGGTGGGATACGATCAAAAGGGTTCCTAATTCGTACATTCGGCAACGGTGCACACTATAGCAACTATGAGTTTTATGGGCCGAATCTTTTATGGGATAATCAAATTTTGTATTATTAATGCTTTTAATTCGCAGACGGGAATTGATTTCGTGGCGTTTAGTTTCTGCGGCTGCTTCGCTTGCTAGTGTATTGGGCACGTTTCCAATTTAAAATATTACTTGTTTTATTTTTCGGGTGCTTCATATCATAGATGCATCGAGTCGTGACTACTTCAGTCTGGAGAGCTCTCTGCCTGCACTTGATTTCGTTGGCCGGAATTCGTTTTAACAGTGCGGAACTCAAAACAAACTTAATTTTCATATAGACTAAACATTTATGCATATCAATCTCATATTCGCTGTAGTTAGTTTAGAATTCTCGCGTAAGTTCGACAAAGTTCGGGCTTCCTCAAACATCGTTTGCGCGAAGAATAACACGCGAATAAAATGCTTAGGTGCGAGTACGCGGTGCGCGGTGAGATACGTGTGCTGCGGCGCGATGTGGCGCGGCGCGTACGTATGACTGTTTCTCTAACAAAACGTTTCCCTTTCCCCTAAAAACATGCAAACCAACTCACAAACCGCCATCATTATTTACGTAACAAACACATCCCTATCATTATTTAAATTGAATATGCTTTGACGTTAACTTATTTTTGACATTCTCCTTCTTCAGAATTAATTTGCGTGTTCTATGGTCCTCTGTACAAACGCCATACGTTAAAACCTTTGTTTTCATTATTTTGTATTCGCAAGAATTAATTGGAATTTACATTGTACGAAATACACGTGTAATTAGAAAACACGTTAAGTTTCACAAAGAAAATTCATCGTCGAATGTGGCACGTGTCAATGTTGCTTTTTTGTGTAGTCGTGTCAAGGGAACTAGAGAGGCGAGTGTTCTAATGTATAATTTGAATTTTGGAATATGTGTGGTAACTGTCAAAATAGCTTTTTAATATCGGTCGTTTAAAGTAGGCGACGGCGAGTATCCCAGCAGGCTGGCAGTAGCGGCACGTGAGCATGAGCTCTGCAGAGGGAAGTATGTTTAACGCTCCCGGTTCCGAATACATATCTAACATTAAATGTAATCGTGGAAACCTGTGAAAATATGTAAATTGATCCTTGGAGATGCCGGACCGACGGACTGAGTGAAATTTGAATATAAACTTTCCACCAGTACCGTATAAGCGTCATTTATTTTGGCCGCCCATAAAATATAATGATTTTTGACGTAGCTCTCGGCTATATTAATTTTGTGGGTTTATAGGGGTGGGCCTGATATATCGACAGGTATTTGTGTGTGTGCGGGGCCGCCTTAATTACGTCATTGACCTCTTCATTACAATATAAGATACTGTGTCCATCATGTTTCTGCTATGTTTGGATACGAATATATTTTAAACTAACATTCTCTTTATTATGGGATCCCTTACTCAGTATACTTAAGTTAATTTTGATTCGAATCAATAAACCGAACAATCGGTAGAAGTTTTTGTCCTCTCTTTAACTTCTGAAAGAGTTCGCGCGACGTCAGCAAAGTTCATGTCAACACAATAATAGATGGAACAAATTAAAAATTTTCCAAATATGCAAACACAAAACCCATTATATTAAAATATTCCAACGTCTAAATATGTGAAAAGGGAAAAAATCCGCAAAATGGACGGCACTCGTCTGAATAAGAGATCGGGAATATTTACATAAAAAACAAATAATACACGCCGAGACGGGATGCGCGCATAAAATTAAAATCGATGAGAAATTCTACCCTTCGAATTAAATATCATTGCCCTGTCTCACACACACAATACACACGCACACACCCGCACGCGTTAAGATCTAGATTAATGTTGAAGGGGCTTGTGAAGCCATCACATAAAACTATACACGAATTCGTATTTAGAATCACTATTCCAAATTCAGAATCACTTTGCAATTCTAAACTTAGCAAAAAAACGGGCTCTACAACTATTTACGATTCCAATTTCAAATGTTAAAAACAAGAACATTCTTCCGTACCATAAAGAACAGATATTAAAAAAAAATGCGCTATTTCAATGGGGTGTAGGTTAAAATATCGGTCCATGCTTATTTGCATACTAACTAAAATAATTTATTATTTTTTCTCGGAGGGTCGCGGTCTACGTGGGGTGAGATTGTATACAATGAGAATAACTAGAAACTGAGTGTTATTGGCCTGATCACGGCGCGTCGGAACATTTTAAATAACGTTCATCGGAATCGCTCGTTTGAAGTTTTGAATTTCAAATATGGATGATATACGGGCGGTGTAGTTTCAAACAAATATCAAATTAAACACACACGGAAATGCAATATTCGACGTCAAAACACGGGATGCTTAAAAGTTTGAATCAAAGCGGTTCGGAAATCAAAGTACTGTTGGCAAAAGGATGAGTGGAGATCGCGGTTCGCAACGCATCCTTACAACGTAGCGTATGATTGCGCGAAACAAAGGGCCGAACAACTTTCACAGCGAACTCGTTGCGTCGGGAAAAAGTTTGCCGACTACGCCGTGTGTCACGTGCTGGCCGTACCATTGAACCGTTTGATTTTCGAATGATTGTTTCCAAATTCAAATCCCTAATGACAGCTACTTTCGTTATTGTTACTGGGTAATTTTTAGTTTTTACCTTTCATTTAAGAAATTGAGATGAAAAGCGTAATTATGTAGAAGTCTCAGTAAAGTTCTCTGTACCAAAACAGTTTTCTTAGATTCTACTTTGAGAAGTAGACCCACTTTCAAGTATTTCAGGAGCATTTATATTATGTAAGTATTTCTACGAAACTATCATTACTGCTAAGTTTTTGTTACGAACCATTACGTCAACGCACCATTAGAGTATAGTTTCGATGTTTAATATTCTAATTCGACCAGACATTTCTGTTGACGGTGCCCGAATGAAATTATCATCCGTATCAAAGGGAATAATAATTTTAAATATCTATACACAAGCATGGCTAGTCCTGCCAGACGGCCACCCCGAAAGATTTATACATTTTATACACCCCGTTCCGCGATACTGTTCAAATTCTACGATTCACTGATGCATTATATGTTTCTCTGTTTTTTTGGCGTCTACCAGGTCTTTTGTTTTGAACGAGCCCTTATTAATTGTATATTTCTCATACGCAATTGATGTTTCTAATATCTTATTGGAATGGAGATTTTTTCTTGCGTGAAACGATACCAGTTTTGTTCGTGTTTCATTCAAATGGACATTACTTTTAAGGTGGAAGAGGGGAATTCTTTTTGCCAAAAACGAAATATGTGTTTCAGAGAAATTAGTACATTCTATGTGGGATCTTATTTTATTTTTAAACGTTTGGTGAGATTCGGGATTAGGGGAGTATCTACAGGGTGCTATTTCAATGTTTGATTAGTGATCGCGATTCTTTTTCGTTATAGTTGTGACAAAAGGTGAAGCTATTTATATGTAAATGCTTCTGAATAATAGAAGAAACCCGACATTAGATCGACTGGAATCTTTACAAATAGTAACGATAGGGAACTACATAAATAACATAGTACGCAATTATGTTATTAATGAGTTAAAAGTATTGTGTTCGTTTAGAAATATATTTGATTTTTGCCTTAGATTGTCTTTCCATCAGTTTTCTTCTACTAATCAATCCTAAGTAATGTATTGCCTGATTGAAATTTAGCAATGTTAATATAATGAAGGACATTACCGACTGTCAACATAAGCATACATAGACTACCAAAACAAAACCGACAAGGGGAGATGCACAGTGCAAAGATATCGGACAGGAAAAGGGGTTGATTTTGATTGAATATCTGTTATTAAGACCCTCCCTACTCACACAGACGCAGATATAAAATAATATACACATTAAGTTTATAAATATGCATGAGTTTCGTTAAAACTTGTGTGTGTGCCGAATTTATAATTGTCTATGTGTGTGTGTATTGATTGTTATAAATTGCGCTCATTGTACGAATGCTAAGCTTGGCGAGGTTTTATTTTGAAAAGAGAAATGGAAAGTTCGATTATTCCAAGTTTGAAATTATTTAAAGAAAACGTTATGGAATAAGTATTTTGACATTTTCTTTGTTCTATATTTGAATCAATTAAGTTCGACAGCGTGAAGAAATAATTCCGCGACTGTCTCGAATGTTCTTTACATACAATTTTGTATAATACAAATACGAGTTTATTATGAGCGTTGATATCCGTCGTTGGATGATGACACTGAATAATTAATGGCGGTCGAATTGTGCGGTTTCCTCCGAAGTCTTATTGTTTTGCAGTTTTTTTTGTTCCACTTCCAGAATTAATTTACTTTTCAGTTGCCAGCGATCGTACGCAGATATTTAATGATGTACGTTTTGTTTTGATTACGCAGAGTTTGTGAGGCTTTGGACTACATTTCTGAGATCTCCTGCCAGTGATCGGATAGTGATATGATCATAATGATGAGAAAGAAGACTCATTAATTTATTCTCCATCCCATTCGCATTTACGTCATTCTATTGAAATGAATTTCATTTTTATTGTGAATTTAGCACGTTCGGCCTTCTTACAAGTGATGTAAAGATAATTAAACATATTTAATATACCAAGTTGACATCGAGACGTGTTCAAGAACGTACAACAAAATTGGCAAGATGGACGGGAGAGGGCGCCTCCTGTCAGCCATCATTAACGAGCTGTCAATGTCAACTGTCACTTGATGCGAAGACGTTGCTGCGATCGGACGTCTAATGACAAGAATTATATTAATTCGTGGTGATGCATCGACTTCGGGCGGGATACACTTAGTTGTGATATATCTTAATATGAATACTTTAAAAATTGTTTTTTTTGCAACAACTCTACAAATATATTCAAGAGGTATTAAAAAAGGGCAAAAAATCTGTAATCCCATTTTTTATAACTCAATGAAAAGTGTTTTAATAAAACATCCACATATCAATATTATAACAATTAAAATAAAAGCTTTTGATGTAGAAATTAATAACGTGGCGGACGTTTTGGACGCGTTCCAGATTATTTCTAAATGAACGATCCTTTTTTTAAGTTCGATATGAATATTCGTTTGCATGCGTGTCGCCCTGCGGATAAAATACGAGTGGATAGATCAAGTCAAGCGAGCCAGCGAGCTGATTGGCAGATCTGACGGAATGATTGACATGGATCATGGAAATTATTACGTGTTGATTGATAAGTAGGAAACTATTTTCAATAAAAATCAATATTTAGTTTAACTTTGTTTAATTATTCGATATGTTTTTTTCTTCGTAAGTTTTATTGAGATTATAGTCTTTTAGATGATATTAACCTACTATCACAAGCTAAAAATTGTGTCTTTGTCGTGTAAGAATTTCCCGCCTTTCTTAATTTGACAGTTGTCATCAAAAACCGCCAATCGCTCGTCACTCAAGACGCGACAAGAAAGTCCCGTTTTTAACTGGGTTGTTCACCTTTCTGTATCGAAAGGGTTAATTCTATGCGAGAGGGTTCCGCGTGTCCGTCTGAGGTGCGTACTATATGTTTTTATTGTTTTTTGAGGGTTGGATGCTACTGTCCTCCTCTTTTGTTTTTATTGGCGATATTATGAATCATTTCGGGATATTCTGTTGATCGTTTCTGGTTTTTGTGGTCAATAGGGTAGTGAGTCCGGTGAAAAATGGCAACGTTGGCAAATAATAAAGATGTGTTTTCGATTGCTCTTTGCTACTTTTGTATTATTTTTGTTAAATATTCAATTCAAGCTTTTTGGTTTCTATATTCGTAATATAGTAGTCATCTCGCCGCCATCTTTGATATTACGCGCCAAAAATTAACTCTATAATGTCTTCGAACCGTATTGCCAGTTATAGTCAAATGAAACTGCCCCAAAAGTAACACCCAAGGGCGCAGTTTTAATTTGTATGTATGCAACTATAATGTATAATTCTTGTATATAGTGAGATCGAAAAGGGTGGGTTCTCTCGGGACCAAATTTGAGATGGGGATCAAAAATCGCGATTGAACCCTATCGAAAACTTACGTGTCTTAGTGCGTATCAGTTTGTGTGCGTGTGTGCGTAAGGGGGTGACAGATTAGGGAGTTATTTTTTGGACATCCCTATGATGGTTTGATCAGTTATCGCGTCGAGCACTCTTGTAATATCGTCGAGAGCAAATTTTAAATAGAATTCGTCTCGCAGACTGAGTATTCATGAAATTGGTAATCATTTAAATAATTTTCCTACATTGTATGCTAATTATATGTGTTTAATTAACTCACGGCTACACGTGCCGCGTCTTAAGGATAACAGTGACACATCTTCCAAATGACCTCATATTGACATAGCGTGACGATATGTGCCAACAAAAAATAGCAGCCAAATAATACTGATACTTAAAAATAGTATTATCTCAATTGGTACAGCAATTTCCGAGATTATCTTTCACAAACTTATTAAGTTTTCGCAATTTTTATTCGTGGCGTAACTAAAGGGACTCTTGTAGGGTTGCCCAAGAGTTTGTATTTAGCAATCTGTTATGTAGGATACATTTTATATATTAAGTTTATCGGTAAATAATAAGGGGTGGTTCGGACCCAATCGATTGATCGCAAAGTCGCAATCAAAGGGTTAAAACGAAGGGTTAGTTTAAAATATTGCTATGGGCTGTCCTGATACTGTATGTGTGCAGAACGTCTGATTGTCGTATCGTATTTGTGTTGAGATTTAGACTTAGAGAACGAAATTAAAAATTCCTATTTATCTTTGTTCTTGTTTAGATAAGAGGTCTTTTGTTTGTGTGTGTTGGGTTAGAAAGGGAGAAAGATTACAAAATTAGTACTCTGTCTTCATAAAGGTAACATATAACTAGTTCTTGTGTCTAAGGACATCTTAAAGAACCCCACAAGGGAATCAAATCCATCCACATCAACACTGAGTGACTGCTAACTTCACATTATTACGTAGTTAGGTGTATTTGTGCAAAAAACTTTTATATAATGTTTTACCAAATGCACTTTTATTGTGGGACGACATGCGATACTTAGGATTCGGGCGAACTATGATAACATTTTGAGCTCACCGTACTTGCACACAGGAGTGACACCGTGCACTAACTGGGGCTTAAAGTACGGGGGCTTAGACACTGTGAGGTGTAACTGGAATTCGGTTAGCGATCGTCGCGTGACTACCCTCATAGTATTTGACACGGCATCGTCCGTACTTTTCACACTCAAATTTTCGCGTTTAAGGCTTGCTTTTTGGTGTGCAATTAGTGATTGTTATCTTGTTTTGTATTGTTACTTTTGTTCGTAACTAGGCACCGAGGTTTTAAGTGGCAATTTTTAAATATATTGTTGTAGTAATTGTGGTTTGCAAGTAAGTAAACGATTTAGGTGTCCGCCTAAGTGTTGCTGATGTTCGATTTCTGCTAAGCCAATTTGAATTAAATTTTCTTGTAAGGAATATTATTAAGTACAATTTTATGGTGGAATAAAACTAGCTAATAATACATTTCTAGCGTACAACAATAATTATTACAGTCCGCATAGTCATTTATAAAAAATATACACGAACAAAAAGTATGAATCATTTCAGTAACCGAATCAATCAAAATGGCGAATTCTCGGCGCTTAGCAATCAATCCTTGGTATAACTTATGCATACGAAATAAATATTAATAGCACACAACCCTTTCTTACACCCCTTTACTACGTACCTACCCTCAGTTTTGCTAATAAATGTGTATAATTAATCATATAAATATGGGTTGGTGTGTGTTGTAAAAACTGTGCATAGAAAATTAGAAATAGTGAAAGGATTATTATAACAATGTACACATATTGTATTCTTATGAAAACATGCCCTGAAAATACCAAATAATCCAGCAGTTTTCGTCTAGTTCCACAAAATATTTCAAAAAATCTAGACCGAGCGGCCCCTCCTGTTAATGTGTACGAAAACCTCTTTTCATCAGTTGACCTACAACTGGCAACCTACACCACCTTTTTAAAAAAGCATATTTGACATTTGAATGACAAGCAGCTTTACTTTTTCATTCCATTTTTGAACAGTTTGGCGGGAAGCTTAACCCGTTCACCGCATACTTAATTCTCTCATAATTGTAACTCGAGAATATTGATTATCCATTATTATGCGCTGTCATTAATAATTTTAATTAATTACGTGTGTGTGGGTGGAGGGAGGCTCGTAAGGGGGACGTGTTTATAGATTCTGTCCATTGTCGTAACATCGTGTGAGATGATTAATGCGCTCATCTTTTGGCGAGAAGATGCCTCATTGATTTTTGATGACTTTGTATATTTCTAGCCGGTAAAGGGTTGAATCAACGAAAGTAAAGAGAGTAGACTAAGCATTTTAATGTCGTTCGATATTTGTGTTTTGTATTATGCATTAAGGAATAAAAAACATGATTCAATGTATAAAGAGGTAGTAAATCACTCGCAGAAGTTACATTTTCCAAAATGGCGTTTTGCGTGCAGTCGTTAAACGTCCGAGCATTGGATCATATCTAAGTCATTTTCAGTTTCCGAACCATAAAGTGTCAGTAAAAATAATCGTTAAAACCCCCATTTGAATATTTGCGCAGTTAAAAAAATTAAATACGAAAAAAAAATTAATAACCCGTTCAAAGCTATTTATATTTGTTCCGTTTGTTCCACTTGAGATTATCGATTTTACGTTATTTTGTGACTTTATTACTCGCCTGTAGTTTTATTACGCAATTACTTTAAAAAGGGCAACCGTCTTTTTATACAATTTTACCGGATCGTAAATTGGTGTTACACACATAGACATGCTTTCCAAGTATTTGTTTAGTCTGTTATATATAAAAACTAGTTTAATCCAGCCTGACATTTGATAGACTTATAAATACTTTCACGTGGCGTCTTACACAAAGTCTTGGTATATTAATTGTTGCCAGTATACAGTATATTTAAATAACATAGGACTCGTGTAAGTAAAAGTAATTAGCAAATCTATTTGTTATGTAATCTTTGTGAAGGCTCTTGCCACAATAGAATTTACTTTTCGAATTTCATAGACAAAGCTTGAGGTCTGTAGATATTCAGCCAATGAGGGTGCGATTAGGTTCTTGTATCTGTGGCAGAATGGACGCGCCGCGATACGGCTCGCGTCGCTTTCGTCCGACGTGGAAAGCTCTTTACTAACGGCTACTCAAACGTGTTATCGTTAACAAGTGACAGTCGATAAGTCGCGTTTAAAAATGGTGCCTTTTTATAGTCACGCGACTTTTTAATCGTTTGACGTTCAAAGATTACCGCTATTAATGGCCGCTCGGTTCGAATATTGACAAATGTCTACTGGTAATCGAGTGGGTTTAGTGGCAATTGTTCTGATATCTGTTGAATTGTTTCACTTTGATGTGTAAATGACAGCTGGTTGCTTGTGATTGGCGTTTTATTTTTAAATGTCTCTAAAGAATTAAGTAGTTTATTGTTTTGTATCCGGTTTTGTCTTACTGAGTTATTCTGTATAGATGCTGTGTTGAATCAAAATTTGTTTAATTACCTGAAACAAAAAGAAAGATCATTAGTTTATATTGATTTTTGAGACAACAAAGTAACAACAACAGAAAACACAATAGATATCGGTTTTAGAATATGATGCCGCCATATTTAAATGGTACAGAGTCGCGCCGGCTAAATCGGCAAACCATCTGGAAATGGAGAGAGGGGAGAATCGCGCAATTTGTTACTAAATTATCGATACTAGTTGAAATGTTTCAAAATTATTCATGTTTTAGGATAATTTATCTGTTAAAATACTTATTGTTTTTCAAATCAATTGCACTATTATTAACTTTATCGGCCTGACTCATTATAAATACGTATAGTTAGATAATATTTGTGATTGATAAGGTCATGGGGTCAGCA